GTTTCTGAGGCAAATTTTATGGTTATCTATCTGATTCTATTATAGTCCAGATCCATATTCGTCAGCTGCGATATGGATGACGCTCGGTAGGTATTACAGACCGATGGCCGCATTGGATTTAGTGGAGGCACTATGAAATTCAAAATAGTTTGTATTGATAAATCATGCAGCCAGATTTCTCTCTCTATGACGACAACATACAACATACTCCTATCGCCAAATGTGAGGTTCATGGTCATCGTTCGATTTTCATTCTATGAAAAATGTGAATGCTTAAAAACTCAGAGTCAGAGTCAGAGTTGATTTGATTTGGCGATTGTAGCTAACCTCAATGGACATGTTGACTGACTGATAAAAAATATATCCTTTTTTTCAAAATTATCTCGCTCAGGTATGTAGTGACACTATTATAATTGCTGCCGTATCAATCTAGATGTTGCATCAGGCTTGACCCATGTTGCAAGCAGGGTGCTTATCCTTCTTTTCCGAAACTTGCACGATTTCAGACATTATCACGGCTTTTAGAATTTTCCAATTTTCAAAACTTCATAATCTCAATCTCAAAGTTTTCCAAACATTTCAGGGATCAAGAATCTTCAAATTTTCCAGAACTTCAAAATTTTTAGTATTTTAAAATTTTTAATATTCTGAATACTATGAAAATTTTAATAATCATTAATACTCGGAATGTGCTGAACATTTTGATAATCATGGAAATTTTGAATATTTTGGAAAACTTGAATAGCTTGAAAATTTGGAAAAAATTGAAAATATTAGTTTTGTAACCCTCAATGAAAAACCGGATTCGTGATCTGCACTCCCCATTACTAAACAAACGCTTTTGAGAATTTTCCTCAATAGTACGCTTTTACCCTTAAAGACGTACACAGTGTTTATAAATTAATGAATAACTATTAAAGTACAGTGAAACGAAGAAGAAATAGTGAAGCAAATTCGGTCTACAAAACGTTATATCCATATCACTTAGTCCTTATTCTCTCCCCAGCAAGATTTATATGAGAAATAGTGAAGTTTATTATATCGCAAGAAGCTCTCCTGCTTCTTCGGGGATTACCGGATTTACAGAAACGACTTTTGGAGCCAACGTAGGCACAGATAAAAAATGACATGTCATGCTCAAACACAACAGCCATTACGTGAAGTAACATGTGGTGTTTTCCCCTCGTGATGCTTGAAACGACGTTGAAAAAGTTTTCTTTGTATTCAATAAGCTTTCCTGACGGGAGTTTCAATGTACACGGGTGGAAGTTATGAGCACAGGGTGCGGAAATCTTACGCGTGTGGTTATGATAGGTATCAGGATCGTTGCAGGGAAATTGAGTTCAAAATGTGAAATTTGGGTATACCTAACCGTAGGTAGGTACAAAAATGAGCGATCCCAGTTGCACGTACCTTTTGTATTTCCTGACCTCCAAAAATACCGAATTGCAACAGTATTAGACCGTCTAAAAAGCACAATCGATCCTGGAACGTAATGTCCGAGCAATAAATTATAGATAAAAGGAACCGCATTATATAGGGGCAGGCGGCTTAGTTAGATTCTCTCCAGTGACGGCGGGCGGGATGTTGATGAGGTGTAGGCTTAGTTGAATTCCCAATATGGTATAATTTGTAGATGATATCTTTATTTGTAAAATATCTCTAGACTTTTGAAAAGCACAATATTTCTTTCAAATTTCAATATTCAATGAGAGGCAGGTTTTTTATTAATTCGGATATGGTCGGTCGGATATTTGGTATTTAATAGACAAGCCGTAGGTGCTAGGCTACCGAAGGCATAAATTCAGTCTCATCTAAAATGTAAATATGAAAAACATTACGATTACGAAGTTAACGCTGGCTATTTATCCTTCTTGCTAGTAGTTTCATAAACTATGTAAAATATTTCACTAGTACCTAGTTTGAACACTTTCTGTCTATATGCTTCTGCTTTGTACACATATGTAGGAGGTAGACGGTCTCTGACTATCGAACGCGGAGGTATGTACCACCCTGCGGATGTCGTAGGCGGGGCCACAATGTGTGCATGTTGCATGCACACGTGTTCCCTCGCCAGATGCCGTGTGGCGTTCCACCTTTCCTCTTTTTTCCCCTATAGCTCCACGATACCCATGGGTGTTTATGCTTTAGGCCTTCGTGGTAGTTGGAGTATAAAAAAATAAAACATAGGTTCAGCCACTTCAAGCGGAAGCCAGAGTTTATAAATTTTTTGCTTTTTATAGAAATCCTCCCAAGGTCAATACAAACAGATAATGTTAATTTTATTCATCTAGGACTGCCTAGCTTAGCCGGGTGGCGTAAATTTGAAACGTGCTCATTAAAGTAATTTATAGATGTGCCACTGCCTTTAAACGATTAGGAGATCACAATTGGTTTTGCGTTTTGAAATTCACTACAAGGCTAGTACTTTAAAGCACATGAAGAAGATCCGCCCTTCCGCCTCTAACCTATAGTATGCGAGAGCCCCGGCTTGATAGGAATACCTCAACTGGTTATAGACGGAAAAAATCGATACTTATCATTAAAAGCGATCTGTTTTTCAACGTCGATTCCCGACAAAACGTTCCGCCTATGACTATGGCCAATATGTTGTTTACCTGCCTTCTAATCTTTTGTATGGCTTTCCGTAAAGAGAAAACATAAGACAATTTAAGTATGTTCTAAAATACTGTCTTACTGTGTGTGGTTGATTTTGTCATGGTAATTCTTTACTACAATTTGAGAGACTGTATTCAATCACTGGCGTATCTAGAAATAATTCTGGCGATTGAAAATTGCAGAGCAGGGAGGGCGGCGGTGGCTCATCTCGATTCAGCCAGGTTGTGTTACATTTCACAAAACGTATCGAATGAATGTAAGGAGAAACATACCAAGCCGTCGCGTTATGGGAGGGAAAGTCCGATAGCCCCAAAGCCCTCCTGTATACGCCAGTGTGCCCAACATTTAAGTTAAGCTGTTCATATTGGGGCTACCAACATTGAAGCAGAGGCGGTCTGTGTGCCTAGTTCACAGGGTTCCGCGTTTCCCTTGAATGTCTTTGTGTCTGCACCGATCCAGCGATGGCGACGACGTAAATGAGAAATTGATTTAATCTTCATATTGATGCATTTATCAAAGGGATCATCATGTTTATTCATAAAATATTACCATACCTCTGAGCAACACAATATTTCTTTCAAATATCTATAAATATCAATAGTGATCTATGCATTTTTTTCTTATAAATGTGGAAGGTGGAACCACCAGCGGGTGCGCTTATTTTGATCCAGATCATAAGTCTTAATCTCTGGATCAAGTGAAAATATTATGTTTTTGTAGCTAAACTAAGTGATTTAAAATAATTTCTTGGTTTAATATTAGGGTTAGAGGCCCTTCTTACACAAAGCGTATATTTTTTTCGCTAGTTTGAGAAATATTTTAGAAAAAGTCGACTATATTCATTAGATCCATAACTAAAGAGATGCCTTGTCATTAGTCTATTCTGATCCGGATAAAGGATTTTGATCTCCTTTAAGTAAAATCGGGCCTAAGTGACACATGCGTGATGTAAAATGTCTAAGTCAAGTCACTTCAAAATGATTCCGAAGAATCGCCAGCGCCACCTGTCCCCGCCTTAGGATGTTGATACTCGTATCATATGCTTCAGTAATGGCCCTTATAAGCGAGATATACTTTTACTGTATTACCATTTGCTAATTACTAAATTTACGAAATTCTGCATTTTCCAGTTTCTTGCTACAGTGCAGCATTACCTTTGCGTTCTAATTACCTTTTATTTTTTTGTGTGCAAGTGTATTGACTACTAAGACCAAATATAACTTTACTCCAATCCTCCAGTTTAAAATACTTTTGTTATTATGAAGGCCTGACTAGCCTGGACCAATTTTATCGTTCTCAATGATATTATTATGCATGGTGACTTAATGCGTCCAAGGATGAATCTTTTTTATTTAGCTACGTACCTGCTTAAATTATATTATCCAGGAGGTAAGTATCTTAGGTACCCTATATTAAAAATATATTCTGCAACCCTTTGTCCTAGAACTGATATTGTATTGTATATAATAATATCTTTCCACTAAATTCTAACCTTCCTTTCATTTTTGATCTCCAGGATCAAGGGTGGTAGACTCAATTTCTGTGACGTGGGCTTACCACAGCATTCTACACAATTTAACTGTATCATCCAGCTACAGTAGAGTAGCCAGCAACGTACGGTCACAGCTTAGATAACAATGCACAGTAATATTTTTAGTATGGCCTGGCTATGTTGCTACATATGATATTTCTGACCTATTTTTACAAACTGCCGAACTATCAGAATCGTACTTAATGCAATGTAATGTCAACAGTGTAAGCTGCCGCGACATGTACAAGGTAGTCATTTTTTTTATTTTTTATCTCATCTGATGAGGAATTCTGAAGTATATTAAATTTCTCTAAACATTGCAGAACAACATAGCCAAGATGTGGCTGACATGTACCGGGGGTTTCAAATTCGACCCCCACCATTGCGATTTCGAAATCGGTAAGAGATACAGCGTCGCTTGAATGAGGGCAAAGTTGCCTATTTAGGCGCTTACACAATTTCGAAATGCAAAGTACTTCCGGAAAGAGACGGAAAATAGCAAATTTTCCCAAAATACTTTAAATTTATTCTTGACTTGACTTATAGTGAAATTCCAAAATAAATTGCATGTTAACATTGCTACTTTTTCTCCTCTACAAGATGGCTTAATACGAATTTCAATATGACGTTTCGTCTCTTGTCCTCCAGCATAAACTTAATTTTTTCTTATGGACGCTATATTGGATTGTTGCGCAGATGAATAGAGTTCTTAATTCTGGTCTCAAAAATGTATAATTTTGTCATACAGTGACATTGCCAAACCTTAGTTATTTCAGAAAAAACAGGTAGGCCTTGAAATATTATCAGATAGTCCTTTGTTTCGTAAATCAGACCAGACCTCAAATAGAACGTAGCAACAGAGTTTGGATGTTTGTATCTTAAAAGGCTTACAACTAGAACAATTTGTCAAATTAAACAGAAATTGAAACATTTTTTGTAAAATCGAAGCACACAAAATTAATAGACAGCTTTTCAATATACATTATTTTATATGCAGTTGTCTAAAAATCTCAAAAATTCATTTAGCGGACCTTGGCACAGTACATAACGGTTATAGAGATGACAGAAACAGACATGTAAATAAGTTCATATTTATTTTGCAAAAATTCGATCGAAATAGTTCGAAACATTATGATAAATAAATAAAAAAATTTAATGCCTCAAGACAAGAATCTCATAGTCCGGATATGCGATCTCTTTGTAGTTGTAGGGAATGTAGCAAACTCCATGGCTTGGATGAACCTGTAAATATAAGAGATCCAATAATAATGAAAAACGCCAACTGCATGTTTCTCTTAAAGTTATCTCTTAATCAAATCAGGAAAACCCATACATTACTATTGTGCTAAGTACCGTCAGCAAAAAATGAATCGGATCAGTTATAATGGGTGATGAACAAAAAAAGTCCCATCTCCATTAAGCCACCTGCCATACACTGACGTTTCAACTACCGCAAGTTTGATATGTTTATGGTTTGACCTACTGACTGTCAAATTTTTGGTAAGATGAAAATTACGGATGAGAACCACAAAAAGTTCTGCGCTAAGTTCTACAAAGCTTGCGTGAAGGAAATTATTGATGACTACTCATCGAACATGAAATTTGATAATGGTGCGAATTATATTTCATCGAATTGTTCAAGTGGCTCTTATGGATGCGAAAAGAGGTAATAAATTTATATATTTTGCATATATTTTTAAGATATTTTGCTCAATATTTTAGGCAAACGTTCTCATCACTGACAATACTTCAAGATATTATTTGAAAAAAGAATTTCATTGTGGATAAAATACCTAGAAAAAAAATCCATGAGTATATAAATGGCAAACATTTGTATATGCCTCTATGTAAAGGCCAGATATAGTCACTAGAATGTATGAAGATGATGATTGTCGTACATTTGTAGTGTTCTTTTTATATTAATTTTGTTTTTACTATACTTTTTTATATTTACGATAGACATACTTTTATTAGTGTCCAGTTTTAATGCTTTTTTAATGTGTGCATTTCAATGATCTGTGAATGTTCTTTGTGTTTTAACATTTTTAACCTTTTTTATTTTCACTTTTCATACTTTACGGACAGCTATAGCATCAATGCGTTTTATTTAACTTCAATTTTAAACAAACAAATAACCAATGCCATTTCACGACTCATAAGTTGTTTTCCCAGTAACCATGATGACAAATGTGACAAAAAATTAGATTATTGACACATACCAGGCTTCTCTTTCGTGGCAGTGCTTACTTTTATATTATATATATTATATACTTTTATCGTAGAAAATATGATCACATCTCAGAATCCATTTGTGATCTTAATTGGATGAGAGTTGATTACATCTGTAAATACCAGTTTCTAAGTCTGAGAGTCAGGGTTCTACATTCAAAAACACCTTCGCATTTAGCTAACAAATTCATAGCTAGAGAAAATATGCACCGCATACGTATTAGATATAGATAGGCTTTTTCAATCCTCCGCCACAGGACAACTCTATTCCAGAAAACGTACATTTACAACGCGATTGATTTATTTGAATAGGTAGTATGAGTTTTTAGATCCTAGTTTGAAAGGTACTATTTCATTACCTAAACTAAGAAAAATGGAAGAAACTGCTGGATCATTAGCTAAATCTTTTGTAATCAATAACTGTCATTATTTATTGTGCTTTATTATTATCATTATTGAATACAGGAAGCTATTTTTAATAATTCTTTGTTGTTATATATTTCATATTGTTAAGGTAATTAGGTGGTAGAATATACGTGGTATCGAAATCTCGCCTCCTGCAATGGTGTTACAAATAAAAATAAATTATTCATCAGCATGGTCTAAGCTTGGTCTCTCGACCTTTCGAAAGCATTTTAACTATCCTCTATACCGAAGGTCTATTGAAATGAGACAGCGTAAAGCGTCATCTATCATACCAGAATCGACCACTGCCGAGAGCGCATAGCTGCTTTTAGTTGCAACTGTTGAAGATCTCAGTTCACGTTCAACAGACCAGTCACCACGTGGCCGCTAGATGGCTGACGATTCTGGCTGTAAAGCAGATGTCTACTTGCCATTGAATAAGGTAAACGTGAAAAAGACAGCAAACCATGACCAGCTGGTTCGTGCCTCTTAGCTACTCATCAGTATTATCCAAGGCTGGGTCTCTGGTCACTGGGAAAACAAACGAAATCATCGCATTTATCCTCTATCCAGGGAGCACGGTCTAACGAAATAAGACAGCGCAAAGCGCCATCTATTACTATGTCGGAAGCTACTCAGATTGCGGCTCCGTTGTGATGTCGAATTATTATTACGATAGAAGCTTCAGTATGCTCGCCATTTGTTCTTGTCGTGGATTTTGCTTAGAATGTTGAAATTCGATCATCATAATGTGCACAATCCTATCAATCCAACCACACAATCTTCTGTACCAGAAAGGAAACATCCCACAGACAAGTCCTGTTCAAAGTGGGAGTGGAGCAGAAATAATACTAACCAATTCAAAAGAAGAAAATTGATATAACATACTACGGGGTTTTGGTAATTAGCTACTGAGATATAAGGTGTTTTGTCTAGAAAAACCTCCCACTACGGCAAACCCTGAGTCCACCATTTTGAAATTTGAAGTGCAGCATTTAATACCAAAAAAAACTTACACACCTCAGCTTTTACCTTGTTACTTTTTCGAATTTTAATTTCTGCGCATTCAGCGGCATCACCCTGTATATTTGTGTAAGTTTGGATTCAATTTTTTATAAGCTTTTTTTTTGATACTAGACACATATTTTTTTGTTATTAGCACGTATTTTATGGAACGGTTTAATTCCCTAAAATATCGCATCATCCTTGGAAAGAAATAAATTGTTGATTAGTTACAAACTGTCAAAATTAGCTTTGTGAGCATCATTATTAAAAACGTGTTTGAAAATGAATTTTTCTAAACAAGAAATGCTGAATATGGTGTTCGTTTTGGGCGAAGCCCAATGAAATAGTTTCCTAGCATCTCATATTATATCTTGGCCTATATCTTTTCCTCCTAGATCACCAGATATGACACGGATAGACTTCTTTATATGGGGCTACGTTGAGCAAGAGGTTTATAGATATCCACCATCTACCCCGGAAAATATGAAGGAAAGGATTAAGGATGCTTTTCTGAACATAAGGGAACACATGCTGAGGGATGTGCAACGGTCATTTATCCAAAGACTACGGCTGTGTATTCAACATGGTGGAGATATTTTCGAGCAGTTTTTGTAGATTAGGTCTGACAGTTGTTTGTTTATGTTGTTGTTATAGTTGTCTTTCTCTATTACGCTTGAAGCTGGATACTGTTCTGATTGTTATTAGTTTTTACGTCAAATCTGTACTCTTAGTGGCAATATGGAACTAGCCCACTGTTTGTCTTTTGTTTCCATGGATGATGTGATTTTTTTCCTTAATTTTGGTGTATTGTTCTATTAAAAGCTTAATAACTCAAAACTAGTGATTTTACCTGAATCAAACCTTATACCAAAAAAATGCTTACAGAAAATTGAATCCAAAATTGAACAAATATACAGGGTGATGCATTTGAAATTTTTGAAAAAAGTACAATTCGCGTTTTTGACCACCCTTTATGAGCTAACACGAAAATTCGAAAAAGTGAGTTTTTTTTATACAAAATTCAGCACTCCAAATTTCAAAATGGCGGATTAAGGGGTTGCTGAAGTGGACGGTTTTTCTGGACAAAACATCTTACATCTCTGTAGCTATTTACCAAAACTCCATAGTATGTTATATCAATCTTCTTCTTTTGAATTGTTTTATCCAAATATGCAATAAAATTTGAGGCATTCTATTTAAAAAATCACAATTTTGATATGTTGCTCAAAATTGGGACACCATGTATAATTGCCAATATTTTTTAAATGTGCCCTCAAATGTCGTGTATAGCATGTAATCAATAGATTTTTCCAAAATGTATTTGTTTATGAGTAATATTCCGTCCACACATGGATGGGCCACCCTGTATATATATATAGATAGAGAATATGATCATGCGGAGAAAAGTATATAACAACAAGTAGGAAAATAATGGGCAAAATCCGCAAAAAGGAGGAAAGTGGCTTCGAGCAGAAAATAGGATAGGTAACCCGAGCGATACGTATTTCTGCTGGTTGGCTTCATCAGGACCGAAATGAATGCACATATGAAACTACAAAAGTAGATACACATGCCCACACATCCGGATACGGGTGTAACCTGAGGAAACGAAGTTGGAGGGGGAAAAACGACACACGAAGTCCACAACAAGAGCCAACCTACACATTGTAGTATAAAATGGCTATACGACCTCGAATTTTCAAGGAGACGTCTAACCACCACCACGCGGCCGGTTATAGTCACTTGATGTGGTACATCAAGCCCAAAGGATCTACAAAGAGAATATGATCATGCCGATAAAAGTATATAACAACAAGAAGGAAAATAATGGGCAAAATCCGCAAAAAGGAGGAAAGTGGATTCGAGCAGAAAATAGGATAGGTAACCCGAGCGATACGTATTTCTGCTGGTTGGCTTCATCAGGCCCGAAATGAATGCATATATTAAACTTTCCTCCTTTTTGCGGATTTTGCCCATTATTTTCCTACTTGTTATATACTTTTCTCCGCATGGTCATATTCTCTTTGTAGATCCTTTGGGCTTGATGTACCACATCAAGTGGCTATAACCGGCCGCTTGGTGGTGGTTAGACGTCTCCTTGAAAATTCGAGGTCGTATAGCCATTTTATACTACAATGTGTAGGTTGGCTCTTGTTGTGGACTTCGTGTGTCGTTTTTTTTCCCTCCAACTTCGTTTCCTCAGGTTACACCCGTATCCGGATGTGTGGGCATGTGTATCTACTTTTGTAGTTTCATATGTGCATTCATTTCGGGCCTGATGAAGCCAACCAGCAGAAATACGTATCGCTCGGGTTACCTATCCTATTTTCTGCTCGAAGCCACTTTCCTCCTTTTTGCGGATTTTGCCCATTATTTTCCTACTTGTTGTTTATATATAGATATATAATCAAAATCCTATTTACCCAAAAGGGTGTAGGGTGAAACAAAACATTACAAAACCTACTATTATTTGTACATGAATTTAGTCCATTCTTTTTTGTTTAAAGCAAGTTTCTTAGCTTCTCTCCAATCTGTTCCTCTTATCATCAATATCTGTTCTATGGTATTCTCCCATGTTCTTTGTGGCCTACCCCTTCTCCTTTTTCCTAGCACCTTACCATCCCAAACTTCTTTCACCGGTATGTTGTCACCCCTTCTTTGCAAATGTCCCCACCATCTCAGCTGCTTCAATTCTATGTGTTCTAGTATAGATTCTATCGCTAACTCAGTTCTTATAGTCTCGTTTCTTATTTTGTCCATTTATGTTACCTCTTAACTCGTCTCAAGTATTTCATTTCAATTGCCTGAAGTTTACTTTTTTGTTGTTGCGATAGAACCCAGGATTCGCATCCATATGTCAATATAGGTCTATATATTGTATTATACACTGTCATTTTTGTTTTCCTGGACACCTCTTTTTTGTTGATAAAACCTTTAATCATCGCATAGTACAAGTTGTTTGTCTTTCCTATCCTTTCAGAAATTTCTATTTCATATCTGCCGTTAGGTTCCAATATAGCTCCCAGATATTTAAAGGAGTGCACCTGTTGCAATTTTACATTACCTATTCTTACGTCCGTATTGAGTTTTTCATTTGACACAGCTATAACCTTAGTTTTCAGTTTGTTTAATTTCATACCATTATCTTCAAGTACTGTGTTCCAAGTGTTCAAATTTTCCAGTAGACTCTCAACACTACCAGTTACCAACACCAAATCATCTGCAAATGCGCACTCTGCTAGTTCCACTTTTTGCAACTTCCTGTATCCAACAAAAATTGGTTTTGTTCTTTGCCTGCATTGTCTTGATTAAAACTTAAAAAATACAAATGGGTAAATTTTGGTGTTTTTTATCAGGATCTCAAAAAAAATGTTCAGGGGTCCACTATTTCTTACAAGCAGAGGTGGAAAAAGTTGTTAATTTCAAGTGAGATCATAACAATAAACTTCTACCGTAACCCAAACAGCACCGTACGTAAACTCGTACTAGGCTTACATTTCAGGGACATCATATACTCGTATTTTTATATCCAGAGACCTAAACTGGACGTCAGATTATAAACATTAGAGTAAGTTTTATGTATGCATATATCACCATAAATGGAATTGTTATTTTCCCTTTTAAATATTTGATGGCATAATTGCCAGATCCTTGAAAATTATCTTAGATTAAGGGCTGCCTAGAAGGTCTATTGGGATAATTTGAAGATGTAAATGCTTTTGGGAGACTTTGTTGTGACAAAAATGGTCGCGTAACCTCTGCCTGTCTGTCATTCCGAAAGTTAACGACTTTATGCTCTACTGTTGTAAAGTACTAATGGATAGCTTTAAAATGAGGTATCAGGTGACCTATCATCCCATTTTAAAATGTCCCAAGAAGGCGCCACCTTAGAATTTTCAACTGACACGTTTACGCTAAAGTATAGTACCTATGCATCAACTCCATCATCCTAAATTTCAGCTTGGTAATTTTAATGAAGCAATATGTACATATTGATATATTCCATTAGCAAATATTTCGTTTTGATTTTTCTATTCTGTATACCTACTATAATGTGTAGTTACAAAACGTTTTCATTCACCCTAAAACCAGGAACTAATTTTATTTATATTTATGTGATAAATCGGTTACCTTTCCAACGGTATGGGATCCTTCATGATACGCCCTGCCAATATAAAGTGGTTCCCCATCTGAGGTTCTGCCGCCTTCTACAGCATCTGGTGGAATGCCACTACCGCTGCAAGGTACCCAATCAAACTGCTGCTCACACAGGACCTATAGCAGAAATGTTCATTATTAACTTAACTTTGTCAATCCGATTTTTGAAAAGCCTAACGTTAGTGGAACTGGGAAAAGCCTTCTCGGGTAGATTTTTCCACAATCTCGATACCCTAGGGACACAGAAGCGGTCGTATCGGCCAGTTCTGGATGTACTAAGTTCGACAGGGTTAGGATGAGAGATCGAATTCTGGCAGGCATATCGTACGGCGGCATCATGGAGGAGAGGTCATCTCCTAACGGTAGACGACAGCCAGATCGCTGACGGTGCATCCATAGTCATCGGCGTTCAAATTGGAATCTTGTCAGAGCTAAGAAAGGCGTACATTTTTATGCCGATGCAAGGGCACTACGGCTGCTATAAGGAGCTTGAAGGCACTTCGTTATTCCAATTTTTGAACTGCCTAAGGTTAGTGGAAGTGAGAAACGGCACTTCAGGCAGATTGTTCTACACCTTTGACACCCTAAAGACAAATGAGCGGTCGTACCGCAAGTTCTGGATGTACGAAGTTCGACATAGTTACGATAAGAGACCGCAGTCAGGCAAGCTTGACTTGCAAGCTCATCGCGTGGTGGTATCGTGAAAGAGAACTCTGCGAAGCAAAGCCCGTTGACATAGCGGTAGATCATCAGAGTCAGATCACCGTCGTTCTGTTGGTGCGAAAGGATCCCGAGACCTCCGCTAAAGAAGATTCGCCGATCAGATACTCAATGGTTTGGACTCTGACCAGCTGAAATGAACGGCTCTTTAGTAGAACTTTGCCGTTCATCAAAACAAATGAGCGCTAGACTGCTTCTTGTTAGTCAAGCTGCAATATCGTGCTTTGGGAGCATTAAGCTGTATCCAGATTGTTGCGTCACCAAGCAGTGATAACCTACAGGTGTCACGGCAGAGAGGAAGTCGCTGGTAGTCTTTTCTCCAGCTGACTAGCAGAGATCGGCTTGTCACACTGAGTTCCTGCACTTTGAGTAATATGCCAAAGTTGCGTGATGTAAGTTAGGAGTTCTTCCAGGGATCGCTGTTGCCGGAAAACCATACTGCCTATCGCTAATCAAGCAGTGAAGTTCAAGGTACTCCACAAGCTCCAGATTTGTGCGACTCTCCTACTTATAACACAAACGAGAACTATAGGCCTGTAGTCGTAAGATGGGTTGGACATGAGCAAATTTACAGTTTTTTGAGGAAGTGCCGGAGTCGTAAGAAATCTGGATCAGACGGGAAAAAACAGGAGCAAGCTCCGCTGCAGATCTCTTCAGAACAATGACAGGAATCAACTCAGGAACAGAAGCTTTGTTTAGGTTACTTCCGGCAAAAATCTTGGCAAACACTTCTGACTCTTCAAAATCTGGTTTTTATCAAAAGAATTCGAAAATGGCAAAAATTAGCTCCATATTTGAGAATGATAACAATTCAGACTTATTTACCATCTAATAGCTATTATATGAAATTTCAGTAAACTGGGGTCGTCGTCGTCCCGCCGTTATCCTTATCGTTGTCTATATCGTTATCGTTGTCTCTATCGTTGCCGTTATCGTTGAGTTTATCGTTATCGTTGTCGTTGTCGTTATCGTTATCATTGTCGTTGACGTTATCTTTGTCGTTATCGTTGTCGTTGTCGTTATCTTTGTCGTTATCGTTGTCGTTATCGTTGTCGTTATCGTTGTCGTTATCGTTGTCATTATCGTTATCGTTGTCGTTATAGGTATCGGCATCGTTAACGTTATACTTGTCGTTGCCGTTGCGGTTATCGTTACCATTATCGTAGTCGCTGTCGTTATCGTTATTGTTGTCATTATCATTACATTACACATATCACTCATTTTGCTTCGGAGAGTCGTATTCGATAAAAAGTGGCATAAAATAGCTCTCCAGAACCGAAAATGCTAGTTTTCTAGCCTATAGGCCATTAACGCTCATTGGTCGATTGTCATTTCTTGGTTTTTGAATCTGAATCTGAAGCTAGCTTCAGGAACGTGGTCGAAATGCAAAATGTCTCTGTAAGTTTCGCAAAATGTTCCAGGTGACTTGATAATCTACTCCCGTTTTAGCCATGTTTGATTCACAAATCGGTACACTAATTTTTTACTTTAGAGCTGAAGTATGTAAGTAAACATTCATTTTTTGTGTAGCATTAGACATTACCGTGGTTTTACTCTACTACAACAGCCTCACATGACAATCAAAAATATATCTTCATGTGCACATTACCTGATACCTATCAACAGCGATTTCTTCGCCATTGTACGCTACGTATGCCACGTTCTTGCCTGGAATCACTTTTGCGGGCAACCAGTCGCCGGCATGGTAAGCTCGACCCACGTAGATGGTATGACCGTCGCTGTCGACACCACCTTGCAGAGCAGTGCATGGCACACTGCCTCTTGCCATCGTGTCTACCCAGTAATATGCTGCAATCACCGTTATCGCTGTATTAGGTGGAGCAATAAAAGCGGTAGGTGTAGTCATCTCTATCGGAGATGTAGTGATGACAGAAAGTATATAGAATTGCAGACGCGCATATAGTTCTTTCCGCCTGCCCGGATGTAATGATCAGTCTTTTCTCTAGATACAACATGTGTACAGTTTGCAACACCACATAGCTTACGTACGTTCTTTCCGTCCTATAGATTAACTATAGGTAAGAAACTCTCTAAGTGCGAATTGGCAGAAACAATCTGTTGTCCTTGAAAATAAATTCTGAATTAATGCGTTACAGAAAACTGTATACAAATGTGTGCAAAATAAAGTACCAAAACAAACAATAGATGACAGGTTAGGTTGTAAAAAGGAAGAGATTTTTAGATTGATTTCATATATTATTGATAAAGTACCTGGCTAAAGTTCAACGCGTGATTTCTTGGATAACTTTAATACAAAAAGTTCATATAAACGTGGGCTAAAAAATACTTCACTTTCATGATACAGAATGAGAAACTTTATTTGAAAGTCCTTTATTTCGTAAAAATTCAACCATTTCGTAAAAATTCAACCATCTAGCCGATTTTACGAAATTTTGTTAATTCATATTCAGATGGCACTGACGTATCGCCGAGAATCTAGATACCATGGAATAAGAAAAACGTGCTGATGAAAAATTGAAATCCGACGACCTATATGACAATTCTTGAATGTATAATAAGGTGTTATTCTTCAATGACTGTACTTGATTTTTTTAACAAAAGTAGTAAAAAAGTTATGACGGTTTTTTCGAAAAATAAAACAACTAGAAATGAAACAAAAAACATTGACTACACGTGTCTTAAAACAGAGCAATTTCGGAGCTTTTTTCTTTAAATCACCCAAGAAGTCACCTCTTGAATTTTGTCCACAAATAGACAGCAAAGAGAAAATGTAAATTAGTACTTAAAAATGGTACACACACAGTCAGCCAAAAAGTAAGGTCCATTTAGTAGACATATACGAGTATCTGGTTTTGATTACTTATTGAACAGAAGAAGGGCTGAACTATACTTTAGCGCATATCGCAAACATTTAATTTCTTATTTTAAAATGAAAGATTAGGATGTAACTTTGAAAAATATCATTTTTTCTTTAACGAATCGTCTGCTTGCTATTTTATAGAACTTCAAAGTTGCATTTTTGATAGTAATACTCTAGAATAGAAAACTGTTTTATACTTTTCTTTTGCTTTTTGCACAAATTGATGGTCTAGATTATAAGAATATAACATACACTGTATAGTACTGTGACAATATTAATCGCAATAAAGCGATTTTGTATTATTTTTATGATTAAAATAAACTATTGTCAAGTAATCGTTTCTTATATTTAAGAAAAAGATTCCCATCACTACACCACCATCACTATCAATTTTTCCGTTAGTTGCAATGTCGCCAAATCGTGAATCGTTTGTTAATATCAAAACAAATGCTGGGCCAGAATTAGAATTTGATTTGTCTTGTCAAATTCTTTCCATTTCTAGAATGTTATTACGATTTTCGGAGATTTTCTTCAACATTGTGATTGATTTCATAAAATCTGTGAACATTCTTGGCTAAGTACGTGTTCATATAGTAATTGTATCTATACTATAATGGTTTTTTCTTTCCATCGTAGATATGGCTACATATAATCTTTGATCCTTGCCCAGAGAGCCGGAATAGGCTGTTGAGTTAGCCAAAGAACGGGGACTATTTCCTAGGGCAAAAATGTGCAATCGGCACAGGATTGCGATGAAAGTAAGATTTGGAGGTGTGGCCTACCTGCCCTACGGTATATATATATATATATATACAGGGTGACTTTGAAGTTGAGTCATTAATTTTCAGATAATGATTGTAGAAGGAAGATAAACCAGAATATGTGTGTAAAAATAAAAAAAAATAAAAAAAAAAATTTTACCTTGTTTTATAAAGTATCCTCCCGACAAGTATTTCAGTGCGGACCTGTATTTGATCGTGAGGTCCCCTGTGAGGTCTTAAGTCACCTGATTCACGAGCCCGTTGTACTAACATACATTAACAAAGGCACGAGGGGTTGGTTGCACTCGATTGGGAAACCGATCCGCATAAACACGTGCCATTTTTTATTTCGTTTGAGCCACGCAACAGAAACTATTCACACGCTAACCGACAGATACTGACTGTATGTATAACTGAACTGAATAAAACACTTAATTGCAAAAACGTCGTTCCAAATTCTTTCGCTTTTTTGTTTCCGATGCGATGAACCGGTAAGGCGGATTATATCCGTTGTTGCCAAACACGAGTACATGATATTATTATTGAGACAGGGCGGTACTCAAACTTCCAAAGGGCTATAACTTTGTTACTTTAATTTTACCAGAAAAATGGTAAAGGAAAAAAACATTTCTTTTGATCAGATCTACTCACTGTTAAAATAAATGACTCAACTTCGAAGTATATATATGGCACTTTCTTTGAAGAATATCGTATGCCCTTCCCAAAAGTACTTCGGTTAGTTTTTTCCAATATTAAATTATAATTCATTTCTTTTTAGTATGTTTCGAATTGAAAAATTATTGAGTTAGATTGAGGATTGTATTTTAACCAGTATAAATATGACAAAAAAGGTTCACCAATTTAAATTTGATGATAATAATGCTTGTAAAAATTGTAATTGTATCTTATTGACTTTTTTTACAGACTTATGTACGCTTTCACGGGACGGTGGAGCTATAGTGACGCTGCCTACGAAATAGATAATTCTGGTGCCGAACAACATCTTTCTCCAACTACCATTGCATTCTAGTATTCAAGCTATGAATTTATTTAAGTATGTATCTCTATGTTATAAGATACATTCATTAGGTACAAATATTGTCGAGAAATGGTTGTTGATCATTTTTCAACAATAATACTAGACGATGAGCTGTTGGGTGGACCTAGCACAGTGTTCCAAATCGACGAATCCAAGTTTGGCAAACGCAAGTACAATCGAGGGCGCAACGTCGAAGGCCACTGGGTACTATGGATCATCGAAAAATCGGGAAGAGAAGTCAGGATGGTGGAGGTGTCAGAACCGAATGCCAGCAATTTGTTCGTCCCGGATCCGAGATCCATACGGATATGTGGAGGGCATACGAGTATAATAGATTGAGTGCAGCGATGTTCACAAGGTTGTGAACCATTCTGACCCCGAAAACCTCTTTGTTGGTATGTTATTTACATTTGTTTATTCTACGTAGATATGTATATACATGCAAAAGGTTTCAAATATATTTGTATATTTATCTTTCAGATCCAGGCTGCACCAACACCAAGCGCATAGAGGCGACCTGGAGGCCTGTCGAACAATTTGCAGACGCTTTCTGCGAATATTTTTGGCGTAGACACTGTCGCGTTCGCGGAATTAATCTTTTCGCGTTTTTATTAGAGGCAATTAGATCTGATTATCAGTTCTAAATGTTTCTAATAAAAAATCAAACATCGCCTTTTTCAAGGTGAGTCCCTAATGATTAGTTACTGAAGGGACTGGGGAGTGATTGTCGATCGCCTCCACGTGGTGATCCCTGGAAACACCATATGGTGGCTAAACGATCGACATATAACTATTATGTATTTTTATATGCTATTTCTTTTGGAACTACCTCCTTGTTTTTTTAAATCTCACGAGCTGTTGGTGAATTTTTCACTATTTATGCACATACTACTCAAACTTTTACCTAATTTTCAATAAATATTGGGTTAACTACTTAGGAAACAAGCCATTTTCATAACACATTCAGTTTTCAAATAACTTCATTTTTTATTTAGGTATTGGACAACATTTCTCTTATCTAGTTCTCTTCTCTGTCAAGAAACGAAAGTTATAAAAGGGCAGTTGAGAATTGTTTCTACTTTCAAACGTTCATTATAAACGCAAAATCTATAATGTTTTTGAAGAAACTTGAAAAAAAAGTTAAAAGGCTTCAAGACAACATTAGGAACTTTTAACACAACTCCTCTAAACAGTTTACCCAGGACAAACCATCATTTGAAGCATGTATTTGGAACTGTCATTTTAGCTTATTATAAGGCTAGTTTTTAACCTTTTTGTTTAAAAAACCAACTATTTTTCACACTTTCACATCTATTTTCCTTGGTACTATACAGTTTATGTTATATTCTTTCAATTTCGAGCATCCTTTTGTGCAAAACGCCAAAAAAAAAAACAGCGTATAAAACAGTATTCTACGTATATTCTAGATTATTACCACCAAAAATGCAACTTTGAAGTTCTATAAAATAGCGACAGAGGGTTCCTTTTAAAGAAAAGATCATATTTTCATGAAAGTTGCATCCTAATCTTTCATTTTAAAATAAGAAATGAAATATTTGCGATATGCGCTAAAGTGTCTTACCAGAAGAAGCCCTGACGTTTTATTTTTTTATGAATTAATTATCGCTGCATAGGCTTGGTCACCCTATACAAACTTATTGTCTTGCAATCTATTTTTGAATACATTCAGCTGTACCGCACGTAATTGAAAATATATATACCCAAAAATAGGAGTACCTAGGTACGAGATTCTCAGGCGCGAAGAAAGGATGCGCCTTCACTTTCCTTCTCATTAATTCTACCTCGTCTGCAGAAAAATATCTCACACAAACGTTATCTTGTACAATTTGACTGCCAAATTGTTCAGTTTCAGATAGATTGTCGCTTCTACCCATTAAAGGATTATGTATAACGTTCTAGGATTTGATACTATAAAATTTCGACTAATGCATCCTTCAGCGAAGCATTATTTATTCGCCTGATCCATTCTAGAAATAATTTATTTATAATCGGTAAATCATATGTGGTAACGTCAAAGAGATATTAGTTAGAAATTTTTGAAATTACAAGCACTTTTGGAGTATTGAAATGTCAACTTGTCAATTCATATGACACGAAGCGCTAAACCCCCTGAGAAGAGTTCTTCATACTCTAACTGGATTTTAGTGATAATACAACTAATAGTGAGTACCAAGACCGCTGGATGTCGCCGCGGAAGGACGACGGAGCACAAGCGATACATTTAGCTGTTTTACACTTGTTGTGAACTCGTTTTGCAGCTGTACCTCTTGCATACACGTCATGATGCTTCAGCTATATAAACATTTGCTTTTGAGATGCGATTATTGGAGGTCTAAGCTAAAGGTTGTATACTATTGCTGAAAGGAAGTGGACGAACGGCAGTGCATATGTGCTTAGTCAGGATTTGTGTGCTGATAATCTGTGTTGATGATAATTTCCT